CTAAATTTTTAATCCCTCCAGCTGAGGTTTATGCAAATATCCTCAAGAAATGAATATTTCTTTCAAGTATCCAATCATTAAAGGCTGTAACATTGACATCATTCAGCAGGAAGAACTACAGAGGTGAAGACTTCACAAGTTAATGCCAGCTAATTAATCCAGCCCATTAGACCCAAACTCTCCATGAACATTTGAAGTGCTTTTCTAATGGAACAAGCTCCTCAGTTAATAAAGTAAAGCTTGCTTCAGAGGAACGGATAGAAGCACATCTGCTGATTTATTTCCCTATCTGAACCAGGTTCCCTGCATTTGACAATACATAAGGATGTAGGGAGAAATCAGACTGTTCTGCTTGATTATTTAAATGTATTTTTTTTTAAGGGGGGCAAGCTGACACTGTTGTCTGTCTCTATCAGTGACATGAAAAAATATTTTCAAATTAAGTTACATTCGCTCCACCACATTAAATAAATGAGCCATATATTTAACTGGATATTATTAGATGTGATGAAAACTGTGGGCATATAATTTGTTTAGAAGAGACTAAATGCAGATAATATGAATAACAATGCTGTCTGGTGATAAATAGCACGCCACCTCATTTTTTAAAAAACAACAACACAGATTTATTTTTGTAATATGTATACAGATACCAGATCAAGAAAAACAAGTTAAGAAAACATCAAGAACAACAGAAGGCTCCCCTTTGTGTTGCCACCCCATTCCTTGAAGCGTGCAACTCAGCTTACTCTTATGAGAAGCCTTTCAAAATGTACACGGCAAACAGAATTGTTTCAGCAATGTCAGCATTTCCACAAAGCAACGTGTGGAGGGTGAACGACTGGCACCTCCCTACAGTGGTGTTGTATTGTTTGCTGGTGCCTGGGGCATGCTTGCACCAGGCAGGGGTATGGCGCAGAGGATATACAGAACTCACCGTGCCAGCCCAGCCCTCACTGCTGCTGCTGCTAGTGGAGGGTTCACGGGCCCATGCACCAGCCCAGCTCTCACCACCAGAGCCAGGTGGGGTGGCACTGTACCATCTGCCCACCTGCGCAGTGAGGAGCCCAGCCAGCCCCTTGATGGCCAAATCCCCTTGACACTGGGTGGACAGCCATTCAGCAAGGGAGCCGGGGGCGAGGTAGTGAGGCCAGGCTGGGCCAGTTTCTGGAGCCCAGAGACCCCATGGGGCAGGGATGGGGATCACTGTATGGGGGGTGCCTGGTTTGTGCTCTCTGAAAATCATGGCCCCAGCCATGGCTGTCAACCCTTAATTTATATTATTTTATTTTATTACATTTGTATCCCATTGTGGCGATCACACAGGGTCCCCGGACGTTTCAGTGTGCCACCACTTTATTTCTCACTGCCACCACCCAGGCCCTACCTGGTACAATACTGAGTCCAGACAGGGTTAAATTGGAACATAAACTTCTGTTTATTTATTGCAGTTTAACAAGCGTGTGGTTTCATAAACAGTATCGGTCAATTACAATCATGGGGTGCCTATCCAGACCTATAACTTCCGCTACCTGCTCTCACTCACTAAACCACCTCTCAGATATTTACTTGTCTTCCTAGTTCCTAACTGTTCCTGACTCAGCTTATTTTGCTACACTAACTCAACCTCCCCACAGACTCTATCCCAATTCATTCCCACTACACCCAACTTCCCACGAACTCTACCCTTCGCCCCTCCCAGAGCTGGTTTTATAGTCCCCCTGACTCCACCCCCCTAGGTTCTGATTGGCTAACTTGTTTAACTATTTCACCTCCAGCACTCTCATATGTTAACGTCACACCCGCCTTTCCTCCAAGGAGCTCAAAATGGCACACATAATTCTCTTCCTCCCATTTTATATTCACAGCAACTTTGTGAGCTACATTAGGCTGAGTGTCACCCATTGAGCTTTGTGGGATTTTGAACCTTGGTGTCCCTGGTCCTAGTTTGAGGCCAGTGGCTATGCCCCTCCCCACTATGACCCTGCTTCCCTACTGAACTGTAGGTGGGCAAGAGCTACAAAATAAGAAAGTTAAAGAGAAGTGCAGGTGTTACGATGCAATGGTTAAAGGTAAAGGTAAAGAGACCCCTGACCATTAGGTCCAGTCGTGACTGACTCTGGGGTTGCGGCGCTTATCTCGCTTTACTGGCTGAGGGAGCCGGTGTACAGCTTCCGGGTGCCAGCATGACTAAGCCGCTTCTGGTGAACCAGAGCAGCGCACGGAAACGCCGTTTACCTTCCCGCCGGAGTGGTACCTATTTATCTACTTGCACTTTGACGTGCTTTCGAATTGCTAGGTTGGCAGGAGCAGGGACCGAGCAACGGGAGCTCACCCCGTCACGGGGATTCAAACCGCCGACCTTCAGATCGGCAAGTCCTAGGCTCTGTGGTTTAACCCACAGCGCCACCCGCATCCCAATGCAATGGTTACCTGTCCATTATTGGAAAGAGTAGGGTGAAGTGGTTAGTGTGTCAAACTAGGACCAGGGACACCGAGGTTCAAAATCCCATTAAGCTCATGGGGTGACACTCAGCCTAACGTACCTCACAGAGTTGTTGTGAATATAAAATGGAAGGGAGAAAATTATGTGTGCCATTTTGAGCTCCTTGGAGGAAAGGCGGGATACAAATGTAATAAAATAAATAAATATAAATTAAGGGGTTGACAGTCATGGCTGGGACCTGAGTAGCTTTATGTTGTCACCGTCCTTAAATTTCTCAAATCGTTACCTTTTAAAGGCTACTTAACCTAGTGGCTGTTAACAGATTTTGGTGCTGCAACTTCCATATGTTAGGTCAGGCATAGGCAAACTCCGGCCCTCCAGATTTTTGGGACTACAATTCCCATCATCCCTGACCACTGGTCCTGTTAGCTAGGAATGATGGGAATTGTAGTCCCAAACATCTGGAGGGCCGGGGTTTGCCTATGCCTGTGTTAGGTGCACTGACTCTTATACTGAGTCAGACCACTGGTCCATCTAGTACAGTATTGTCTGCACTGACTGGCAGAAACCCTAGGGTTTCTGAGAGGAACCTTCCTTCTTCCTATGACATCCTTACAATGTGTGTTGAGGGTGGGTGGGTGTCAATGAATGAAATAGAAAAATGGAAGCCTCTTTAACCAGGGGAGACAACTTCTGGGAACTTAGGGGACAGGTTTCCAAACAGCCCTAGAGAAATATTTCCTTTTGTCTGTCAGCTTCACTGGACCCCAAGTATTATGGGAGAGGAAGGGAAACTTATCAATCTCCACTTTGGATGATACCTTCTAGCGGAAAAATTCTTCTGATAAGGTAGCAGGGCATTCTCTGAACTCTTAGAGTTCCTCTCTGTGCCATGGCACAGAGTTTTTCTAACTTTTTGCCTTCCCAGCAGGAAATAAGTAACTCTTAAAACTTTCAAACCTCATTTTGAACTAGTTTTCTCTCTTCCTACTGAAAAGCAACCTTGATCAGAGAAGCAAAACATCCCAGGCTAGAGCTGAGGGGACAGTTTGGAAAAGTACTGAAAATATGGTTGAGAGGGTAATGGTGTTTGTGGGCCGTTTAGAGATAATGTTGTAATTCAGAAGCTTTTAACTCCTGTTTGGAGAAAAGAAACAAAGCCGTGATGTGCACTGGACCCCATCTGGTTAATGTCCTGTACGTTATTACTGTAAAAAAACAAACAAACAAACCCACACAAAAACAGCCCACCAGGGCCTCCATCTCTAAACTAAACAGAACACAAAACAATGGTTTATAGTATCATAAAGAGCCTACTTTAAAGCTTGAGGGTGGAGGCTTTGTATAAACTGGTGGGAATCCCATTGCCTCTGAGGGGATTTTATTTCATATTTATCTTGGCTATCCTATCAATACTTCCAGAATGCATTGACTGTTGCCTCCCTGCCATTCAACCATTGTGTAAAATTATGACATTTCAAGCTGAAGAAATCCTAGTATAAAATTCTAGGAGTCTTCCTTACCTCCTAATGGAGACAGGAAAGGGTAACTAAGACTTTGAAGATAGTAAGTTATTTCATTCATATTTGTTGCCTCATAAAAGTCACTTTACGTTGCTTCAAGGTCATCTGTACATTGTCGATTTAAGATAATTGCTTACACACTCTTCTCTTTCTCATCTGACTTTTTGGGACCGCATGTGTGACAGTGTGCACTCAGCCTTGTGTTATCCCCATGGTTCTCTGGACTGGGGTCCGTATTCAATTTGTGTGTGCGCACACACACACCAGAGGTGCACTTAAGAAAATACAGAAGCACCAACTTCTGACTTACTCCAATTTCCCACAAATTAGTCCTCTGTCTCCTATTCTTTCATGTGGGGGGGGGTAAGATTTGTTCCTTTTGTTCTCGCTATTGAATAAATGCCTTAAAACATTTTATTCTACTGTATTTTATTATACATATTTGGTTTTCAGTGATTGACGAGCCTTATGGTATTTTATATATTTGCAAATCACTTAGATATTTTGTTTGTAGAAAGTGATGAATAAATGCTAATAATAATGTCACAAGCCTCCTCTGGCTTTCCATGGCACAGCTAGGGATGTCATAGAATCTCATAAGAAATTAAAACGGGAGCAGAAATTCCCACAAGTTACATGTTCATCAGGAATAGAAATCGCAAAAGCAGGCAGTATTTGCTTCTTTTTTTTTTTAGTCCACAAATGGTTCCTAAATAGTTACGTTATTTTCTCTATTGTTTTTGATGTTTCCCTTCCGTTGAAATGTATTTAAATTGATTGTATTATTAATTATGTTAGTTTCAGCCAAAGCAGATAGTGAAACAAATAATGCAGGTTTTAGTGGAGGCAGAACCGGAGCACAATAGAAACAGTGATGAATGTGTTGAACACAGGTTAAGACAGAAATTGCTGCCTCCTTGGATCCCTAGCTCCATCCCATATTGCCTTTTCATTGCTAAAAGAAAAAAGAAAAATACGTGTTATTCTGTAATGATGCTGACATGCCTGTTTTTTCCCCCCTCTCTCTCTAGGTCCCTCACCATATGAAAACCTTGCCCTATTACAGCTACGACCAACCGGTGATTGGATATTGCCAGGCCCACAAACCCCTCCATGTAAATAAGGGATATGACACAATCTCCCGGGACCAGGCTGAAGCCACCAACTTGGAGTTGAGTCGAGACCACAGCTTCATTGCTACAATTGCACGTTCGGCTGCTCCAGCTATTTACATTGAGAGAATACCAAACTGATGGAATCTCTTTCCTGAGAATCAAGAGAGGGTGTGTATGGGAGGCTTCTTTTTTCTGGGGAGGGGGGAACCTTCGGGTGAAGAGGAACAAGGAGCAAGGAGAAGAAGACAACTCACCATTCCAGTTACAAATGTTTTGATGCAAACAACAGGAAAGGGGAACAAAATAAATAAATAAATGACACGTTGCTTGAGGACTGCCGTATAAGGAAATTCAGTCTAGTGACACTATAGTACCGACTGGAGAACTTGAGAATTTCCTTTGGCTTTAAACTGTCGAACTTCTTGGTGTACATATCAAAGAAAGATTGCTGAGTTCTTATATAAAAATGCGAGCGAGCGAGAGAATTAGATTTCACTCTAGCAACATAAAGGGATGGATTAAAAGTTCTGTTTGTATATTTGATTTTTCTACACTGCACGGTTCCTTCAAAGGAGAACCAGAGGTACCAATTAGGGGTGGGACGGGGGAGAACATAGAATGGAATATGAGATATTGTTTATTGTTTATTACTCTTAGAAGTAACAGAAGGTTTCTTTATTTTTCCATTTGGGGTGGGAGGGAGGAGAATAAACCAAACTGAGTCCCGTTTTCCTTTTCTTTTTTCCCCCTTGAGGGAGTGGAAGGTCAGTGTTATGATTTCAGATTCCAAACATGGTTATGTTGAACCAAATGGACATTGGCAATTCCTGAAAAAAGAACCAAGAGGCAAAAACAGACAAACCTCGGGGTGCATGTACATTTAAAACACATGCTGTACATTATAGGGAAAGGGTGACTTTTAATTTTTTCCTATCTTCATTGTGCTTCATTGTTGACACTACAATTATGTTTAGGGCTCTATAAAAAAAGAAAGAAAGAGGGAGCAGTTATTGATGACATGAGAGCTCACACTTGAACAGGACAGCTGTGCTGAATGCAGGGGGGTGAGGGGACTTTGGGTATGGAAATATTCATTATATACCTGGAAATTGTGGTGGGTGGGCTGAAAATTTGATGGCTGATGTGATTTAAGAAACAAACAAATGGGAGGATGTGTAACACTGTTTGATTTATTTTTAATTAATTATTCTGATCAGTTAGCTTTTGTGTAGTTTTTATCAATAAAACGACAAAAAAAGTGGTGGGGGAAATAAACATAATATTTTGTGGTTGGGAAGCCACAGCTAAATGGATGATTCAGTGTTTTCTTTAGCTGTTTTATATTGTGACTTCTACAGTCTCTTGAGATGATACAAAGATTTAGGCAGATGGGAAAAAAAATGTGATGATGTTTCAGGATCCATGGGCAGAATCTGGCCAAGGGTGGTGGCAGCTATTGTTATTGTTATTGTTACCATTGCAGTTGTTTTCAGTGGGAGTAAGTTAAACACATGCTTAATGCTTCTAATGAGACCAATGAGAGATCAAAGCTTTGGGATGGATTGTGTTCTTATTTCTTCTTCATTCCCTGCCCCCTCAATGGAACCCCAATCTTATTTCATTATGCAGGCAAGAAAAGCAAAGAAAAGCTGGCTGGATAACTTGTGGAAGCATGTGGTGGAAGCTTTTCAAATCATGCTGACGAAAGTCAAACACTTATTTGGGCAACCCAAGAGGTTTAAAGTCCAACCCCTTAAGTATGATCACTGACTTTCACAAGAACGAGTACTGCACCGGGATTGGTTGGATTAAGGTTGCATCATTGTTCACACTTCCCTAGTTTAACTCACAAACAGTACAGAATTTTACAATTGCACATTGACTATTGAAGGAGAACCAGAAATGGCTGGGATAGAGAAGAAACCTGTACTAGAATAATTGACACTATCAGCCAGTCCTAGATTGGGCATTGATGTTAATTATTAGCACTCTAAGCCAGCAGTCATTTAATTTCAGCACGGCGCTATAGAAAACATGGAACTCATAGCATTCCTGTCCAAAGGACTTGCCATCCACAGCACTGCAACAATCTTCTCACCTACCATTCTAAGCAACTTCAAACATCTGCCTTTAAAAGCACTTGTGATGGCTCAACTAGACATAAAACTTGGGTTAGGGTGAGAAATTCAGTTGGGTTCTCCTAACAACTCTCAGCACCTTTAACAAACCAAGGTTCCCAAGGTTACTAGAGGGAGAAAATAACTTAGCGGCACCGTGTTTCTGCAAGAAAAAGTTTCGTTTGGGCCAAGTTTGGAGGTAAGAGCACGCATGAGTGAATGGAATCAGAGTTAGCTTTTTGGATTCTGAAACAATGAGCTTCAGAAATTGTCTGCACTGAAGCTGTGTGCAGGCAGTAGATTTGCAGAATTTCAAGCCAATGGATGTGTCAATTGCCTGTGGTCCTCATGTTCATATATTGTGCCTCAATGGACTCTAATCAAACTAGTCTCACTTCAAAATGACCCCCTCTAAAATATATAGATAGATGATAGATAGATAGATAGATGATAGATAGGTAGGTAGGTAGGTAGATAGATAGATAGATAGATAGATAGATAGATAGATAGATGATAGATAGCTGGCATGCCTTAAAGCCAAAACGAGCCAACAGAAAAATATGATGGAGTCATTCCATGGCAATGGTTCCAGGTAGTATTCCTTACCACCATATCCAGTTACAGTTGAAAAGAATGAACATCTGTTGCGTATATATGATCCTGGGATAGCTCAGTCGGTAGAGCATGGGACTCTTAATCTTAAGGTGGTGGGTTCCAGCCCCACACTTGGCAAAATATTCCTGCATTGCAGGGGGCCGCACTAGATGATCCCTTCCAGTCGGGATTCAGGACTCACCATGGGACTGGAACTGCCTTGGTCGCACTGGTTGATGATCTCCGGCGGGCTAGGGACAAAGGTGAGAGTTGTTTCCTAGTTCTGCTGGATCTCTCAGCGGCGTTTGATACCATCAACCATAACATCCTTCTGGACCATCTTGAGGGGCTGGAAGCTGGGGGCACTGTCATACAGTGGTTCCGCTCCTTCCTCTTGGGCCGTGTTGAGAAAGTGGTGGTAGGGGATGAGTGTTCAGACCCCTGGGCTCTCACTTGTGGGGTGCCTCAGGGTTCTGTCCGCTCCCCCATGCTTTTCAACATTTACATGCAGCCGCTGGGAGAGATCATCAGGAGGTTTGGGCTGGGTGTTCATCAGTATGCGGATGATACCCAGCTCTACCTCTCTTTTAAATCAGAACCAGTAAAGGCGGTGAAGGTCCTGTGTGAGTGTCTGGTGGCAGTTGGAGGATGGATGGAGGCTAAAAGATTGAGGTTGAATCCTGACAAGACAGAAGTACTGTTTTTGGGGGACAGGAGGCGGGCAGGTGTGGAGGATGCCCTGGTCCTGAATGGGGTAACTGTGCCCCTGAAGGACCAGGTGCACAGCCTGGGAGTCATTTTGGACTCACAGCTGTCCATGGAGGCACAGGTCAAATCTGTGTCCAGGGCAGCTGTGTACCAGCTCCATCTGGTACGTAGGCTGAGACCCTATCTGCCTGCGAACTGTCTCACCAGAGTGGTGCATGCTCTGGTTATCTCCTGCTTGGACTACTGCAATGCACTCTACGTGGGGCTACCTCTGAAGGTGACTCGGAAACTACAACTAATCCAGAATGCGGCAGCTAGACTGGTGACTGGGGGCGGCCGCCGAGACCATATAACACCGGTCTTGAAAGACCTACATTGGCTCCCAGTATGTTTCCGAGCACAATTCAAAGTGTTGGTGCTGACCTTTAAAGCCCTAAACGGCCTCGGTCCTGTATACCTGAAGGAGCGTCTCCACCCCCATCGTTCTGCCCGGACGCTGAGGTCCAGCGCCGAGGGCCTTTTGGCAGTTCCCTCATTGCGAGAAGCAAAGCTACAGGGAACCAGACAGAGGGCCTTCTCGGTAGTGGCGCCCACCCTGTGGAACGCCCTTCCAGCAGATGTCAAAGCGATAAACAACTACCTGACATTCAGAAGACATCTTAAGGCAGCCCTGTTCAGGGAAGTTTTTAACGTGTGATATTTTACTGTATTTTTGGTTTCTATGGAAGCCGCCCAGAGTGGCTGGGGAGGCCCAGCCAGATGGGCGAGGTATAAATAATAAATTATTATTATTATTATTATTATTATTATTATTATTGAGGTCCCTTCCAACTCGACAATTCTGTGATTCTACTTGTATGCAGAAAGCCACATGTTTGATCCCTGGCATCCCCACGTAAGGTGGGAAATGTCCCCTCCCTGAAACCCTGGAGGGCCCTTGCCATTGCTCTGCTAGATGGATTGAAGATGAGATTCAGTAGAAGGCTTCCTTACATTCTTAAACAATGGGCTACATCTAGCTAAGTTATACTCAGGATAGACCCACTGAAGTTAATGGACATAGGTTAGTCATGCCCATTAATTTCATTTTTTTTTTTTTAATAATTGATATTTATTGAATTTTCAAAAAATAACAACAAAAATTTCCAAAAAAAATTTAAGGATACAAAAAACAAAAATAGTACATAAACAAAAAAGAAAAGAAAACCCAGCCGCAAAGAAAAAAAAAAAGAGAAACAGAAAAACAAAAATATAAAGTCCTTTACAATCTCTATTGACTTCCTTTCTAGACTTCCTCCTCCTCCCCTCTTTTGTTTCTTAATTTTTAATTTTTACAGCAAATCCTTTCTGTTTTTTCATAACAATCTGTCATTACGTTTCCTTATTCTATTTTCCCTCTTGTCATATAAAAACTTTAAAACTCATAGCTTATATTCAATATTTACCAAATTCTTGCATCATTACCTTTTACGAATCATTTACCAATCCTTACTTAAGCCATGTAATTTCATTCAACATCCTTCAAACATTTGTAAGCATTCCCAATATTAAAAAGAAAAAGAAAAATAATAAGTCAAATTCAGTCCAGTCAGCTTCCAACCTCCCCTCCTCTGGACCCGGGATTGTCAGTCCTTTTAACCTCGATAATCCGGCTCCTTAACCTGGTTGTCTCGTATCCGAGGCCCTCAAGTCTCTTTCTTGCCCCTTTCGCCACTCTTGTTGATGATTCCTTTAGTCATGCCCATTAATTTCAACTGATCTATTTGGAGTGGTAGTAACATTGGTTACAATCAAATGGTAGCAGAGCTAGGAAATACCGTATTTTTTGCTCTATAAGACTCACTTTTTCCCTCCTAAAAAGTAAGGGGAAATGTGTGTGCGTCTTATGGAGCGGATGCAGGCTGCGCAGCTATTCCAGAAGCCAGAACAGCAAGAGGGATTGCTGCTTTCACTGGCTTCTGAGATTCAGAATATTTTTTCCCCTTGTTTTCCTCCTCCAAAAACTAGGTGCATCTTGTGGTCTGGTGCATCTTATAGAGTGAAAAATACGGTACTTTGGAAAGCCACTGACAGTGAGAGGAGGCATCAGAAAATTAGATGGGTAAATGGTCTGATTCGTTATTCATTATTCGCTTATTGAACATACATTTTCTAGCAGTCTGCTAGAACTGGTACAGCCCAGTTACAGTTTTATCATTGCAGTGAAAACTAGATTCCCAATCTTTTTTGGCCCCAGGGGCACGTTTGTAAAACTAGTAAACTGATGTGAGGATCACAACATACCCATTTCACAGAAGAAATGCTGACGTCCAGATGCCCTCCCCAGAAAAGAAAGCAAGGCAAAACATTTACACAACCCAAAACAGAATAAAACTGACAAGATCTCCCTCTCACACACAAAAAGGCAAGAAAGAAAGAAAGAAAGAAAGATGATTGATTGATAGATGATAGATAGATAGATGATAGATAGATAGATGATAGATAGATAGATAGAGATAGATAGATGATAGATGATGATAGATGATAGATAGATAGATGATAGATGATGATTGATAGATAGATAGAGATAGATAGATAGATGATAGATGATGATAGATAGATAGATAGATAGAGATAGATAGATGATAGATGATAGATAGATAGATGATAGATAGATAGATAGATAGATAGATATAGATAGATGATAGACAGATAAAATTGGGAGCAGCAGGAGATGCTGTGATGCCCACAACAAACATGCTGGAGACCTCAGCATTAGAATACAGAACATCAAGTGGGGGGGGGTGTTAAGATAATACGGTTCTCTGTCAGCCTGCATCCCTTTTCGACCTCATATATATGATTTCTGTTACTGAATAATGGAACAGAACAAGGTTTTCATAATTAAAAATCAATGCAATGGATAAATGAGAAGGGGGGGGGAATCTGTGAGTTTAACAAAAAGACCCAACTGCTGTAAACAGGACATCAACAGGACTTGGTTCAAGAATTGGCAGCCTTTAGCTAGGAATCCATGTGCACAGCCTGTGCTAGGAAAGGCAAGGGGGGGAAAGTATTTCTCGTTCATTATTTAATGGTGACTGAACCATCTCCTGTATACTTCCTACTCTGTGAGCTCATTCTGCACAGAAAAGCCATTCACAAACTGATCTCTACAGACAGCTCTTGGGAACCTGGAGCTTGAGTCAGGCCTGCAGCCTTTCCCTATTCTAGCCTTCTGCCACCCACACAAGCAGTCAATGAACTGACGATTCTGCTGATGGCTGTCTATGCGTCAGCAGAGGAGCCAGGCAACCCTGCCAACAATCCTGTCTATCCCTTTTCTCTTCCAAGGGGATGTTTGGAAGGATTAATCAGTTAATTGTTTGCACAGAGATGGATGCAAAGACAAATCTGCCTTACACTGTAGCAGGCACCAAAATGTAAAAGCTCAGACACATCTCTCTCTCCGCCTAAATAGAGGTGCAATTGACTCACTTGTAGAAATCTGATTTATAAAGACCCTCCTTAATTCCACTCAAGGAAGTGGGATTTAAAGTACTTTGGATACAATCCAACCATGTTTAAGGATGTTAGACTTCTCATATTTCACAGACAAACAAAAGAGAAGCATGTAATCTGAGCACAGGGCAGCAAATACTTTTACATCCATAGAAACAAGTGCCCAAATTAACCTGGCAAAGCACTGCCAGTCTTTTGATTCGGAGGCTGTTGTTTTTTAACTTGCTGAGATTGTGAGTAGTGAAGGAGGGGTGGAACCTGGTGAGCTGTGATTCTGAAATGGACTCACCTAATCTGATCTGCCCAGATCAATTCAGAGAGTCAAATTCTCTCAGTCTCATGAAATTCTTATGGATATGACGGCATCCAAGTGTGACCTGTCTGTCTTCTTTAGAAATAATTTCTGCTTCCTAAAGGAGGATAGCTAATGCATGGAGCTCCTACTACTGCACACATTGAAATCAATATAGCATTTTCCATAGGAAATATTGTACTGTAACCATAGGAGCCAACTCCTAGTGGTCAAGGTCCCTTCGCCACTGCCCCCCCCAATAATATATTTAAGGAGGCTACCCACAGTTGATGGGCATTGCCATTCAAATGGTGTGTGTGTGTGTGTGTGTGTGTGTGCCACATCATGTGATCAATTATGCAGGGTGGTGCTTACCTGGCCCCCACAATATTTTATTCAAGTTGGCACCTCTGACCATAACTTTTAGGATGAAATTGCATATTTCACACACATTCACATTTTTAAAATATATTTTGCATTCAGTTTCCCTTAAGACTCAAAGGGGGAAACTGAATGTAAAATTAGATTTGCTGGGGGGGGGGGATATGGAAGTTAATTGCCCAGGTCTACTCAGAGGTAAACCCAACTCAGTTCAATAGGATTATTCCCAGGTAGGTATATACATACAGGATTGCAGC